CTCAAGGATCTGTTTTGGGGCCACTGCTGTTTGTCATTTTTATAAATGACCTGGATGAGGGCGTAGAAGGATGGGTTAGTAAATTTGCGAATGACACTAAAGTCGGTGGAGTTGTGGATAGTGCAGAAGGATGTTGCAGGTTACAGAGGGACATAGATAAGCTGCAGAGCTGGGCTGAGAGGTGGCAAATGGAGTTTAATGTGGAAAAGTGTGAGGTGATTCACTTTGGAAGGAGTAACAGGAATACAGAGTACTGGGCTAATGGTAAGATTCTTGGTAGTGTGGATGAGCAGAGAGATCTCGGTGTCCACGTGCATAGATCACTGAAAGTTGCCACCCAGGTTGATAGGGTTGTTAAGAAGGCGTACGGTGTGTTAGGTTTTATTGGTGGAGAGATTGAGTTTTGGAGCCATGAGGTCATGTTGCAGCTGTACAAAACTCTGGTGTGGCCGCACTTGGAGTATTGCGTACAGTTCTGATCGCCGGATTGTAGGAAGGATATGGAAGCATTGGAAACGGTGCAGAGGAGATTTACCAGGATGTTGCCTGGTATGGAGGGAAGGTCTTATGAGGAAAGGCTGAGGGACTCGAGGCTGTTTTCGTTAGAGAGAAGAAGGTTAAGAGGTGACTTAATAGAGACATACAAGATGATCAGAGGATTAGATAGGGTGGACAGTGAGAGCCTTTTTCCTCGGATGGTGATGGCTAGCACGAGGGGACATAGCTTTAAATTGAGGGGTGATAGATATAGGACAAATGTCAGAGGTAGGTTCTTTACTCAGAGAGTAGTAAGGGCGTGGAATGCCCTACCTGCAACAGTAGTAGACTCGCCAACTTTAAGGGCATTTAAATGGTCATTGGATAAACATATGGATGATAATGGAATAGTGTAGGTCAGATGGGCTTCAGATTGGTTTCACAGGTCGGCGCAACATCGAGGGCCGAAGGGCCTGTACTGCGCTGTTATGTTCTATGTTCTATGTTCTATGCTATTGCATAATTGCATGGACACTGGCTATCCAACAAACTTTCCTTTTGTGAGCCATAGAAAAACAGAAAAATTGTAACTCAGAAATAGCTTACTCAGATCATTGTGTCTGCACTGGCTGAAAAAGACAAAAAAAAATTCAACTATTCATTCTAATCCTACATTTCAGCACCTGGTCCACAGCTTACAGGTTACAGGATTTCAGCTGCTGATCCAGGTACCTTTTAAAATAGTTGAGGGCTTCTGCCTTGACCACCAAACTGGACACCAAATTCCAAACAACCACCTCCATCTGGGTGATGAGGCTTTTCTCTCCCAACCTGTATCAATCACTTAAACTGTTAATTTACCTCCCTGCCAAGGAAGCCAATTGTGCGAAGGTGTTGGTAGATTCTTCATTTGTGCAGTGACAAAATCCATCCATCCACTATAAAATATACTTCCCAGCAGGAGTAATTGGTAAAAAAAGCCCTGCTTTTTTTTGTGCTTTTCTCAACCAGGAGCACCAAAGCTAAACATAGTGTCCCAACTACTGCTCTACTGTGGCTGAAGCTAATTAACTCAGCACAGATCAAGGATCTAAATCAGCACATTCTTGATTTGAAACCAGTGTTGTTTATTTGATGAGCAGTATACATTAATTTTCTGCAATTGCTGGATTATATGGTTATTCACAAAACAAGACGGTTTGTACAGGTCACCTGTGACAAAGAATCATGCTATGCTGTTCAAGACATACACAAAATTCGCCAAAACGAAATTAGCTACATTAATCAAGCGATCTTTCCTGGGTAGGAAGGAAGAAAGAAAAACACGTTTTTCCTGAGACTTGGTTGAGGGAAGGGCAAGATTGGCAACTAAATATCCCAGGATATAGATGCTTCAGGCGGGATAGAGAGGGAGGTAAAAGGGGTGGAGGTGTTGCATTACTGGTCAAAGAGGATATCACAACTGTGCTGAAGGAGGGCACTATGGAGGACTCGAGCAGTGAGGCAATATGGGCAGAGCTCAGAAATAGGAAGGGTGCGGTAACAATGTTGGGGCTGTACTACAGGCCTCCCAACAGCGAGAGTGAAATACAGGCACAAATATGTAGACAGATTATGGAAAGATGTAGGAGCAACAGGGTGGTGGTGATGGGAGATTTTACTTTTCCCAATATTGACTGGGATTCACTTAGTGTTAGGGGTTTACATGGAGCAGAATTTGTAAGGAGCAGCCAGGAGGGTTTTCTAGAGCAGTATGTAAATAGTCCAACTCGGGAAGGGGCCATACTGCACCTGGTATTGGGGAATGAGCCGATCAGGTGGTTTAAGTTTCAGTAGGGGATTACTTTGGGAATAGTGATCACATTCCATAGGTTTTAGAATACTCATGGACAAAGACAAGAGTGGTCCTAAAGGAAGAGTGGTGAACTGGGGGAAGGCCAACTATAGCAAAATTTGGCAGGAGCTCGGGAATGTGGATTGGGAACAGCTGTTTGAGGGTAAATCCACATTTGATATGTGGGAGGCTTTTAAAGAAAGGTTGATTAGAGTGCAGAACAGACATGTCCCTGTGAAAATGAGGAATAGAAAAGGGCAAGATTAGGGAACCATGGATGACCGGTGAAATTGTGAGTCTAGCAAAGAGGAAAAAGGAAGCATACATAAGGTCTAGGTGACTGAAAACAGATGAAGCTTTGGAAGAATTTCGGGAAAGTAGGACCAATCTGAAACGAGGAATTAAGAGGGCTAAAAGGGGTCATGAAATATCTTTAGCAAACACGGTTAAGGAAAATCCCAAAGCCTTTTACTCGTACATAAGGAGCAAGACAATAACTAGAGAAAGGGTTGGCCCACTCAAGGACAAAGGAGGGAAGTTATGCGAGGAGGCAGAGAAAATGAGTGAGATTCTTAATGAGTACTTTGCGTCGGTATTCACCAAGGACAGGGACATGACGGATGTTGAGGTTAGGAATAGATGTTTGATTACTCTGGGTCAAGTCAACATAAGGAGGGGGCAAGTGTTGGGTATTCTAAAAGGCATTAGGGTGGACAAGTCCCCAGGTCCAGATGGGATCTATCCCAGGTTACTGAGGGACGTGAGAGAGGAAATAGCTGGGGCCTTAACAGATATCTTTGCAGCATCCTTGAGCACAGGTGAGGTCCCGGAGGACTGGAGAATTGCTAATGTTGTCCGCTTATTTAAGAAGGGTAGCAAGGATAATCCAGGTAATTATAGACCGGTGAGCCTGACGTCAGTGGTGGGGAAGCTGCTGGAGAAGATACTGAGGGATAGGATCTATTTACAATTGGAGGAAAATGGGCTCATCAGTGATAGGCAGCATGGTTTGGTGCAGGGAAGGTCATGTCTTACCAACTTGATAGAATTCTTTGAGGAAGTCACAATGTTGATCGATGAGGGAAGGGCTGTAGATGTCATATACATGGACTTCAGTAAGGCGTTTGATAAGGTTCCCCATGGTAGGCTGATGGAGAAAGTGAAGTCGCATGGGGTCCAGGGTGTACTAGCTAGATGGATAGAGAACTGGCTGGGCAACAGGTGACAGAGAGTTGTAATGGAAGGGAGTTTCTCAAAATGGAGAACTGTGAACAGTGGAGTTCCACAGTGATCCGTGTTGGGACCACTGTTGTTTGTGATATACATAAATGATCTGGAGGAAGGTATAGATGGTCTGATTAGCAAGTTTGCAGATGACACTAAGATTGGTGCTGTAGCAGACAGTGAAGGGGACTGTCAGAGAATGCAGCAGAATATAGACAGATTGGAGAGTTGGGCGGAGAAATGGCAGATGGAGTTCAATCCAGGCAATTGCAAGGTGATGCATTTTGGAAAATCCAATTCAAGAGCAAACTATATGGTAAATGGAAAAGCCCTGGGGAAAATTGATGCACAGAGAGATCTGGGTGTTCAGGTCCATTGTACCCTGAAGGTGGCAATGCAGGTCAATACAGTGGTCAAGAAGTCATACGGCATACTTTCATTCATCGGACGGGGTATTGAGTACAAGAGTTGGCAGGTCATGTTACAGTTGTATAGGACTTTGGTTCGACCACATTTGGAATACTGCGTACAGTTCTGGTCGCCACATTACCAAAAGGATGTGGATGCTTTGGAGAGGGTGCAGAGGAGGTTCACCAGGATGTTGCCTGGTATGGAGGGCGCTAGCTATGAAGAGAGGTTGAGTAGATTAGGATTATTTACATTAGAAAGACGGAGGTTGAGGGGGGATCTGATTGAGGTCTACAAAATCATGAGAGGTATAGACAGGGTGGATAGCAAGAAGCTTTTTCCCCAGAGTGGGGGACTCAATTACTAGGGGTCACGATTTCAAGGTGAGAGGGGAAAAGTTTAAGGGAGATATGCGTGGAAAGTTCTTTACGCAGAGGGTGGTGGGTGCCTGGAACGCACTGCCAGCAGAGGTGGTAGAGGCAGGCATGATAGCATCATTTAAGATGTATCTAGACAGATACATGAATGGGCAGGGAGCAGAGGGATACAGATCCTTGGAAAATAGGCGACAGGTTCAGATGGAGGATCTGGATCGGCGCAGGCTTGGAGGGCCGAAGGGCCTATTCCTGTGCTGTAATTTTCTTTGTTCTTTGTTTTTTGTTCTTTGTTCCTGTCAGTATTTAAGGCTTAACAATGGTGTTGAACATCAATACCCAAATGATGCTGAAATCAATATTCATTACTTTCAAACTGGAAAATATTATAAATTCTATTTAATATTCATTCTAATATTATCAGATTGGCCAGATAAAAACTAACTTTCTTTCATTCAATGGTGTTTAACACATTCAAAGCAGGAAAGGAGGCATAGATTATGTACAGTACAATCAGGATCACCATGTTTCACTATGCATAGCCAAACATCATTAACTAACTAGGAAATAAGTGGGGCAAAATGACATTTTGCAATCTAATGAAAACAGGATCAACCGACCAAAGTGTAAGTAACAAAAAGCATTGACAAAACGAACAATTTCCAAAGTAAGATATCACTTACCAAGTTCGCCATATAAATTGTTAACAGCCCTCGCCTGTAAACCAAAAAGACATTTCATGAGGCACAAATGTACTGGACATTCAGTAAATATGCCTACATTACATTGGCTGAATGTATTTGGGAAGAAAGTTAAGGGCTTTTCAAATATTATATATAAAAGCCTTTTTTGGGAATGACATTGCAACATAAAATGGTCAGAAGATGCATTGTGAACATTGGCAAGTTTTTAATCACACTATTGTGAAATTTATAAATTCATCAAATGACATTTCTGCTCTGTATTTTAGCCCTCTTAAAATGAATGCAAATGTTGCATTTGCCTACCTAACTGCCAACTAAACCTGCATGTTAACCTTAAGAGAATCCTGAACTAGGACCCCCAAGTTCCTTTGTGCTTCAGATTTTGAAAGCTTTTCCCCATTTAAAAAGTTGCCTTACGCCTCGAGCCAAAGTGCATAAACTCACACTTTCCCACATTGTATTCCTTCTGCTGCTACTTTGTCCACTCCCCTATTCCTATCCAAGTCCTTCTGAAGCCACCCCATTTTCTCAACACTACCTGCCCCTCCACGTATCTTTGTGGCACCTGTAAATTTAGCAACAATGCCCTCAGTTCCTTCTGCCAGATCATTAATGTACAATGTGAACAGTTATGGTCCCAATACTGACACATTCAGAACTCCTCTCGTCACCAGCTGCCATGCTGCAAAGGACCCCTTTATCTGCACTTTCTGCCTTCCGCCAATCCTCTATCTGTGCCAGTACCTTGCCCCTAACACCACGGGCTCTTATTTAGCAGCTTCCTGTACCGCACCCTGTTAAAGGTCTTCTGGAAATCCAAATAGATCATGGCTCTCCTTTGTCTAACTTATTCATTGCCACCTTAAAGAATTCAATGGCTTAATGGATGAGAAAATATGAGATAAATCTGGAAGCAGAAATAAATATGGAAAAATAAAATCTGCAGAAACTAACGAATTTTAACTGTGCCCATAAGCTCACCTCAAAACTGCAAGCCTGTCACTGTCAAACACGCTCCAGCTGCAACTTGCAATATGTGTGATAACCATTAGATTTGATGTCTATTCCCTTCAGGCTAAGTTCAAACTTCCACTCATCATCTCAGCTCTCACAATCGCTTTAGTGGCTTTCAAACACCAGCAAGGACTGGTGGCGGCACAGTAGCTCAGTGGTTAGCACTACTGCCTCACAGCACCAGGGACCTGGGTTCAATTCTACCCTCGGGTGACTGTCTGTGTGGAGTTTGCACATTCTCCTTGTGTCTGCATGGGTTTCTTCTAGGTGCTCCAGTTTCCTCCCACAGTTCAAAGATGTGCAGGTTAGGTGGATTGGCCATGGTAAATTGCCCATACTATTCAGGGATGTGTAGATTAGGTGGGTTATTGGGGGATGGATCTGGGCGAGATGCTCTGAGGGTTGGTGTGAACTTGTTGGGCCGAAGGGCCTGTTTCCACACTGTAGGGATTCTATGACTACCTACCTAAGTACAGACACAGCATTATACCTTTTCCCAGTTCCATAATTTGAACAAGAAGTAAAAAACGTAGCCACAACATTCCAAGAGCATAAGTCTGTGTACAGTATATATGGTATTGTAACAAAGCCAATATCAAAATTCACTCATTACCATACAGTAAGTCAAGAAACATTGCAGCATAGTTTTACTTCTCGACTGTCAATTTTAATTTAATGTGAAGGTTTAAACTAACATCACATTTCAGGCTGTTAAATTGATCAAATGTTGAAATTCATGATTTGTATGGCCAGTTACTTTGGAGTGCAGTTTTTCCATCAGTCATTCCCTTTAAAAATTGTCTTTTTCTTTAACAGCTTCCAGCAGACCAAGCTATCTGCCCAGAATGCCTGATATTTCGGACACACACCAACTTCTGCAATGGATTCACAGTGCTTATGCGACAAGGTTGCAGGCTACACTGCTTTGGATGGATACTTCACAAAAGATTTGGGCAGCGATTAGGACGACTATTCAGTTTTGAACATAACATAACCTAGCTGTCCAGCAAATGTAACTGAAGTCACCATAAGCCTAGAGGACCATTGCGCCGCTCTCTTATTAAGGAGAGCTGACTGGTCGTGACTTTACCCTGAGGGTTACCACACCACAAGGGGCAACATCGAAAAGGTATACTAATTGCAGCCAGTGCAGGACTTCTACCTGCACTGTTGGCTTCACTCTGTATCACAAACTACCTGTCCAGCCAACTGATCTAACCAACATTTTGTCAGCAATTATAGACATGGAAAGAATAGAGAGGAAATCTGAATTTGAAAAGCATGCTTGTAAGATGAGTGAATGAACCAGTCTCTCATTTCCCACGTCACAGGGGAATATAGTATGTTTGTGTATGCAGACCCTGATCTATCTTGCACAAACATTGTCTTTGGGGGAATTCGTTTCTACTACATGGAATGGAATCACCACTTGTCACTTCCAAAACTGCAGGAAGAAAATTGAAATTATTCATCATTTTTATTAATAACAAATAACATGACGATGAGCCAGATATCTAAGTTAGTCACTGATCCAATGACTGGAGACATTGCAAGCAATATAGATGACCAATGAGGTATTTATTAATCAATTAAATGAATAGTTTGAGCAAGTGCAGTGAAGATTTACCATAAATTGGCAGAGAGAATTATTTCTGAACTGCATTGATTTAACTGTAATTACATTCAACTAGGGTGTAGTCACTGGAACTTAGAAAGTTAAGGAGTGATTTGATTGATGTCTTCAAAATATTTGATTTATAGTTTCAAGCTTTCTCCCTCAAGTATTGGACAAATTTGCAGATTGAATAATAACTCTGTTGAATCCCATAATGAATTGTCCTCAAGAAAATAAGGGAAACAGACAGCTTAGCTATAAACTATATCTCCTGTTCCTAAAGCAATTCAAATATAAATCAGAGACAGAAGGAACTGCCAATGCTGGAGAATCCGAGATAACAATGTGTAGAGCTGGATGTACACAGCAGGCCAAGCGGCATCAGAGGAGCAGGAAAGCTGACGTTTTGGGTCTGGACACTTCTTCAGAAATAGTTAGGGTCCAGATGCTGCTTGGCCTGCTGTGTTCATCCAGCTCTACACCTTGTTATCTCAAATATAAATCACCTTTGTTCCAAATCTAATTACAAGATCTGATTAAAAGTATATTTGCACAAACTCATGTACTTAGTCACAAGAATGTTCCTCTTTGGAAATGTATTGCAGAATCATAGTTCAGATGTCAAAGATATTTCGCTTGTGCAGAATAAACTTTTGAGTTGTTGATGCCTAAAGGTGCAACACATGTACTACATCTTTAACCCCATTTAACATGACTCCAGTAAATTCCCTGGGCTACTGGTTGAAAGCAATTGTAAAACTGTCATAATGGAGCTGTGTTACAAAATACTTGGACCAACTGCAAAATATTTTCACTTAATCAACGGACAGCTACACAGAATAAACACTAAAATATGGCAAACTCAAACTAGTCTTTAGTCGAGCAACAGAGTTCAAATGATTTTAATCAAATACAGCTAAAGCCTAATTTTTGATCCCAGTTCACACAACTTTAGCCTTAGGTCTGGTCATTTGCTGTAACATTGGGTTATATACATCCTAAAGCTTCACTAAAGAATAATGCTGTATTTCCCTCTAACCACACTTCTATGACAGTCTCTGTTAAAGGTATTTGCACCATCATGGAGTATGTTAGAATAAATCCCATAAAGAACTAACTGTAATAGTTTGTGATGTCATAGAAAGAAGTGACATATACTCGTGACCTGAGAGTCTAAGAAAAAATAGCTTGAAAAGAAGCGAGTAAAGCAATGTTTTCATTATTGTAAATATGTTTATAATAAAGTTAGAGTGTTTTATAGCCAGTCTTTTGGAGATACTGATACTTCAATGCAATAATGCAAAAATTATGCAAATTTCTGTTTACACATTTTATTGTTTCCAAACTTTTTATCATTATATATTTATATTCAAGATTCTCTTTTCAATTCCATTTACACAAACCCTGTTCAAGTCTTTTGTTGCATTAGTGTGGGAGAGATTTTCCTTAAATTCTTTACAAAAAAGTGATTACTTGCACAGCAAATAGCAAATAAATATGTAGTAGTAGCTCATAAGAGTAGATGACTCACAAAAGTAGCAATACCTAAAGATTAACGTAACCAAAGGACGAAGCAAATAAGCTTTCACAATACACCCAGCTGACAGAAAATCTTTGACAAATAAATACTGGACCAGCCAGTGATATCAACAACCCATGAATGAATTAAAAAGCACTCAATTCATAGTAGTGATAGATAACAACACAAATTGTAAGAAAGAAAATGTCTAAACAAAAAATGATGAACAAAATTAAGCAATGCAGTTTTTTGAGTTAGCACTTTCTTTTAGGTGCACTCATTCGGTGGATGCTGTACCAGTTTTCCCAAGTTTTGCAGATAGGCAAAGATAAATGTAACAATAGCATTTTATACTCTTCCTCTTTGAACAAAAATTTGTTGATGTTTTGTGCAACCCTGGGTAAAGATATTTAAATTTATTGGAAACAGACATTCGCAGACGAACTTACAAACACATAGAACAGCTGCATTAGATTAAATTCATTTTATAAGAACATACAAGCCAAACATGAAAAAATACTTAATGGATCAATTAGTAAAACTTAATGACAACGTGTAATACAGAAACTAAGAACAGTCACTTTTATCAAAAGCATATTTTAAAATGATCACATATAGCAATCGATCCAATTGCTGTTAGACCAAAAAATATGTGGTCTGAACCCAGTACCTATCTATATAGAGGGCAGCACAACCAGCTCCGAGTTGCACTGTCAGCTGTAACTTGTACTGATTTCAGTGACAGAAAGTCCTGCATATTCATCTTTGCACAATAGGGTGGAACCCCAAGGAATGAGGAGACACATTATTTTCTAGTTTGTCAGAAATAGATCTGTCATAGAGTTCTATTGTTATACATTTAGTT